CCATTTGAAAGCATGTAAAAAAAACGTAAATCTACTTTCGGAGCCCCCCCCCCCTGCACGTGGACGTAGATCTACGTTTGGACAGTTTAATCTGTCCTCTGAGCTATTTGGAAATATTCCAAATACTTCGGGAGTTATGTGGGAGTAAAGGGCAGATTTTTTTGCAATATTCCAGAAACTAACAAACTTTATTTTTTTGTGAAATAACGATAAGGTATTTAGAGGGAAATATAACGGTCCGAATTAGTATTAGCATTGTTCTCTCGGCACCAAGTGTCCAAACAACCTTACGTAGCCCCATATAAGAATGACATCAACCCACAGGGCATTTTCAGTAAATCAGTCTTTTCTCAGTTGTTGTTTGAGGTATATTTTTGATAAATATTTTCAAGAAAGAGTGAGAACACTTTGTCTTGTGCACCAAAACTGGAGAAAATCGGACGGTAAATAAACGAGTTACGAAATGTGCCCTACAGCCCCCTTAAGGGGGGGGTCCCCCCTTCAACCCCCAGTCTGCTTCATGGGTTTTTAGTAGGTCTGAATCAATTATTGGAACACTGTAAAGCATGACCAATCTTTCCTGGTTATATTTTATTATCCGAGAAACGGAGTAAATCTATTTTTGCGAATAAGAGTTCAAGATGGAAATAAAGTGTAATATAGGATAGGCCTAGGGTTGTCTAATGAACAAAGAAAATGTTTTAGTGCCAGGAATGTGTAGTGTTTATTATGGACTATTTGTAAATTTATATTTTTTAATTTTGTTTGAAATTGGCCAAATTACCAAATTCTGATAATTTTATAGGATAGTTGAAATAGTTAAATGAGTGGTTTCTTGTGCTCAATCGATAGAATGTAATACGTACTAGCAAAATAGCTAAAAGTCTGATTGCCTGAAACAACGGAATTAGTGTGGGACTCAAAGTCGGCAAACTGTAGGTGCATAAATTCCGCCAAGACTTCTAACTTTGCACCAGTGGAATTTCATGAGTTTCCTAACAAATTTTAAACTTTTGGCGTCATTACCTTCAGAAAAAAGATTTTCTACCATTTCAAAAGTATTTTTTTTTTTTCTTAATTTTTGGATATTGAGTTTCATTTTGGGGGTCTGGACAGTTGAAGAATGACTTTCAGACAAGGAATGCAAGTATGGAAAGTATGCAGTATGCAAAATTTTTTAAGTTGGAATTATACAGAAAGTAAATGAAATATCTAAACATTTATTTGTAACAAATGTAAACAGAGAATTAGGGTTCATCCACACAGTGAGCTATTCACTAATGTAAAAATGTTTTACCAGTCTACATTTCAAATTATGCCACTGTCTACTAGTATTACCATTATTATTATTATTATTATAATAATAATAAAAAGAAAGTGCTAAACCACAAGGGTCTATGCCACTGTCTACTAGTATTACCATTATTATTATTATTATTATAATAATAAAAAGGAAGCGCTAAACCACAAGGGTCTAGCATTACCGTAATTAAAGCAGTCACAAATGAATATAAAAAACTTCACCTCATTTTTACCTATGTCATCACAATAACTAAAAGCAAACAAAAATGATCTCTTAAACATTTCAAAAACAAAATGAAGTATAGTTTTAAGATTTATATGAATGGCATGCATATTTTAAATAATGCTACAGTAGCAAGTCAATCTACTAAATTATCATCAGGGAGCTCACTCTTAAGGGAATAAACACTTTATCCATAATGCATAGATGAGTTCCCAAGACTAACTCATCTTACTGACACTAGAAATTCTGGACTGAACTGATATTTACACATTTTATACATGTGGTAAAAAAATTATATGAAAACAAAATCACAAAAAATATGATACATAAATACCCAAGATGACCAAATAAAAATTAAATATAGTTCAAGTGCTTTTGTAAGGTATCACATCCTCTAGAAACAGTTCACCATGCTCTTTGCGAGAAAAATACATTACAAAAGCATCCAAACTATACATACTTTTTAACTGTTAGCCATACTGGACATACAGTATTTATATAAAATACTTGTACATGTTTGAGCACAAAGTTATCATAAGGGAGAACTAATAGTTAAGAGAGACGTCGTGTATTCTCACCTTCCATCTTGTTTTCGTCATCTCCACCCATGTCGTTTTCCTGTAGTTCAAAATGTAGTTGAGGGTAGTTAAATGTTCTTATAGTGTAGTAAGTGATTAAATATATTAAGTATTTTTTTTTTTTAACAATTAAGAGTTCAATAATAAACATCCAAAGGTTGTCTTATACTATACCTTATCATCATTTATGCCACTAGAATAAAAATATAATGTAAGAGCTTATGGTAACTTCTAAAACACCATGTAAATTGCTAAACAATGTGGCTAGTTCAAGCTGCAAGACAGTGGTGGCAGCCTTAAAGTAAAGAGAGAAGTGATAGTTTGTGAGGTGTAAGCAAGTCAAGGCACTTACAGAGGGAACAATCATAAAAATGTACTGGACTATCAGCACAACCTTAATATTCTCTACAAAATGGCAATGGGCACCTCTCTGAGAGATGACCACGTGAGTGTCTGCTGTGATTAAGGCACAGATATAAGAAGAGTCTTCTACAAAAGACAGCTATGATATCTTGAATCACAGAATGTACGGTGAAATCAGCATGTTAATTACCCTAAACGCTCGAATAACAACAAAAAACAACTGTTGAATGAAGATGCAATAACGAGTTTTGAATATGGACAAAGGAATGTGGAGAAGTAAAATCTAGATCACTTGTAAAATACTTAGAAATTTTTAACAAGTACCTTGAACATGGTACCCTGTGGCCAAAAGTAGTGAGAGATGTTTTATTACTGAAATGCAAAAATACTAGGGGACTAGCAGGTGTCTGTGAAATTATATGATTTGGAACATACAACATGGCTCCAAATATTTTAACAGTGGGTTATCAGTATATACAGCAGTAGTATCTGAGTGACTGAACTAATCAAGAAATCTTAAGCAAGAGCTCAAGAAGATAACCAAGACTGAGAATGGAAGAAATAAAGAAATGACTTGGAACATAGGTTCTACCCAAGGATGAGAGGAAGAAGGAAGAGACCAACAGGATGTATCAACTTGCACATTGTGAAGAGAAAAATTATTTATTCCTAGGATATACAGGAAAGAGTATAGTACTAGGTTCTATGTGATTACCTATTTATAATTCCAGGAGTAGATCTATGATGGCAATGTTCAGTGTAATTATTTTTTTTTTTTTAGTTTTTCAAGAGTTGTGGTGACTACTGGCTCCTCTGGAGCCCATTCCAGTTATTTGCCATTATTTGTAAAGTACTACATATTTTCTATTCTGCATTACTTTTCTTATCATTTGTAGCTTCAACTCTCTATATGGCTAGAGCAAAAGAAATCTTTCTCATCTGTATTTTTATATCCTTTTATGAACTTTTGTTCTACCATCACATCTCTTATCATGTCTTTGAACAATTGCATTTCCAGTGCCTTCATTCTGAGAAAGTATTTCGTTACATGAATCTGGATTGATTTTACTCTCTTTCGAATGTTATGATTATTTTTCTGTTTCCACATAGTGAGACTTAACCTCAAATTTGCCAATATGTATAAGCTTTTTGTAATAATCTGTTGCTCATGATGTCCTGAACATTAATCAGTCTGTCTAGTTTTCTTACAATTTCACCACTGTCTATATTCCAATACATGGCATATATTTACAGGATATTCCATCACCTGTTTATTATTCTCACGATAATCGGAACTGTGATGTCAGCACACTTCTGTCAAGACAGTGACTGAGTGAATTATAGTGAATGTGTTTCCCCTTCCTTGAGTAACCCAACTTCAGTGGTGCATAAAAAAAAACTTATCTTGTGGTTTTTTTCTACTTTAAGATCATTGTTGTACCTACAAAGACCTTCATATAAAATAGTTATATGCTTTCAGCAACTTTTTTATGTTATAATAAATGTGTGTAATACTTTGTAAATAAGGGTAATTGTTGCCACATCAGTTTATTATATGTAATCCTTAAGAAAACCAGTAATTATCTGTACATGAAATTCCTGGATTTAAGCCTCACATTTTAAAAATTCTTAATAGAAAGAGAGAGTCGAGAATAAATAAAAATGTGAAATTACACATTTCATGACTTCTGAATATTATAAGTCAAAATTTGTCAAAATACTAACACCTGAAGAGATCAAGAAAATATCCAACCAGTCCTATAGCAAACAATGATTTCCTACATAAAACTTTAAGCAAATTTCTCAATAAAAGTTAGATATTTAGGTTAGGTTGGTTTATGTGTATTTACTAGGAATTCGCACAATTCCTGGATTCACAGTTACTATGACATATAAGCAGTACCTCAAACACCACAGTACTGGTGCTAGTAATGACAGTTTGTCTCCAATCACTTAAAAACATTTACTAGTGTATAACAGATTTGTCATCAATTGTAATAGGAAATCTACTGAAAGTAATTTTTGAAGGTCAAGTATATACAGTCTACCCATCCATTACTTTCTTATATATTTTAAGACTATACTTTTACAACCCACTAGCCCTTAGAGATAACAGAAAGGCACTTAAGGTAAATTCTTTTTACCTTAAACTTTAATATATCCACCCAAGAAAGTGAGCTGAACTTGCAAAAAATCATAAATTTTTAATATATAGCTAAAAAAATTCAAATGCATTATAATTTATCTTAACTGCATTCATGTCTTGTACATCAACTTTCTTTTCATAAGTACAACTACTGCATATCAATAACCAGATACTCCATTCACAATCCAATTAAAAACTTACAGGTAAATGATGAACTTGAATTTATTAAGATATGCTGAAAGTATATAGCTTATTTTTCCACCTTCAACTTGCATTCATTTGTTCTGTTTGACAGAAGTATTACACAACTGATACAGACAAATCAAAATGTTTAAATAAACTAAGGGATATTTTTAAATGCAATAACATTTAACAAATCTTTTGCACCTTTATTTATGTAAAAACATTAAGGATTTTTTTTTTTTTTTCAAAAAATACCAAACTTGGTTTATATATATTTAATTTAGAGGAAAAATTCAGTCAATCTTGGGAGAATACAACTTAATTACAGAATGTACTTAGTATCAAAACCAGTAATATTATCACTTATTCTTGGCTGAATAATTTACTGGAAAATAAAATAAAAGTTTATTCTGTAGAGTAAAAAACATGAACATATTTTTAAGTTCTACATATTTAACCCATGAAACTCCACATGATCATGATTAAACCACAGTAAGTTTAGTATCAATTAAAAATTACTGAGCCATATCTAACAGAACTGCTCTTTCAGATTTCCAATGAGTGATGGATAGTGCTCAATTCAACTAGAATAACCAGAGGAGTAGCCACGTTAAAAAAATTTCAGAGTAAAGGAAAAAAGCAGACTGCTGTAAACTTAGTTAAAAAGGTTAATATTGGGAACTCGACTGTATCCAATGTATTAGTACACGGGTGATGACTGTCAGACATTAGTACGCACTTTTTTTTTTGTGCCTTCATACGTGAACAATGAAACCCGGACCTGTTGATCCACCACCAGTTTCCTTACCAGCAAACAGTGTGAAACTGCTAGGAAGATGCCCTATCCATTCCAAATTTATTATAATTTCATAATACGTACTAACTTTGGAATTCAGCCAATTAGCACATTATGTAGACTTACCCTAGGATAACCCAATATAGTCAATGTGACCTATTTTCATGTTTCCACGAGTATTACACCTTGAATAATTTTAATATATTTCCTTGTAAATATATATTTTTATATGATCTGGAAGGCACACAGGTGTTACATATACATTAAAAGTTTTAATATTATAGGTATTCCTTGTACATAGTGTCAGAAAACCAAAGCAGTAGGAAAAAAAATTGCTCCAATTTATACTATACATTCCATATGGAGCAATATTAGGCTATGCATGTCTGAAGTACAAAAACACCTTGAAACGCATATTAGTGGTCTACACAGTGTTAAACATAAAAAATTTAAAAAAAAAAAAAAAAAAAAAAAAAAAAAAAACATAATTTAGACTCAGTGGGAGATGACTGACATGTTGAAAAAAAAAAAATATAAGAAGTAAATATCACTGGCACATTTATGGCACTGCTTCAAATGAGTGATTGTTTTTCACCAACTTCAACAAAACGTAAAATCATGAATTTTGTCAGGGTCCACTAATTTTAGTGTTATTTGACTCATAAAAATGCATTCTTTCAGTCTAAATTTTTTTTTTATTTACTTTCCAAAATCTTGCCATTTATACAGGAATTTTAATTTCTGGGACTGCCACAGTTAAGGGGTTAAAAAGAAGAAAAACTAGCTTTTATTTGTTTACCAAAACATGAAAGAATAATTTTAAAAGTAAAAAAGCAACAAAGAGGAAAAATTATAGTTAAAACTTAACTGGTCAATAAATAATTACTATATGTGGGAGTTTTGTATGAACATGATGGAATAAAACCTTCATTTTAATCTACAAAATTATATTATTCCAAGAAAATGTTATATGCTACATAAAAGCTTTTCATATTATTAATCATCACAGCTGATTTAGTGAACTGGACATCAAATGGTACATGTATATCTATCTTTAAAACCTTAAATTTGTTGTACAGTATTATCGAATAAGGAAAACATGTTAAACAAAGAAATCTCAAGATCCTAGCATTCATATACAGTATATGTACTTTTAGGAAAAAGAAGACAAGATAATCAGAACAAAAGTTGAATATTGCCTGCATTAGCTGCTCAGAATAATGCCACAAAATATATTAAGCATTATTAACCTAGAAAAACTGGTTGTAAAACAAACTGACTTCTAAACATGTAACTTTTTTACATGTGAATGAAATATAATTGTGAAACTTACTTTAATGCCTAAACAGTTTGTGTTTTCGGAGCTCTAGCTCTTTAATAAATATATTACAAAGGGATTTTTCAATGTATCCACTTCCTAGTTAAAGCTAATTTATTGTTTAATATACTTGCAGTTAACCTCAATAATTAATATGACTTGCTTTATAGAAAACAAGATTCAAATTAAGTTATGTACATTTTAAACTTTCACCTCAACTGAATTGCTCTTAAATATGGAAAAATATTCTGATCTAGAGTGAACATCTTTGGCAGTTTCTCTGAATTCTTGCTCAGGCAAACCTTGATCATGATTTGAAGAAATACCTTTCAGGCAAATACCGTACTTCACTGTCGAGTCACAAATGTGATAATTACTATAGGCAGCATATGATGTATCATCGCCAGGTGAGCCGTGAAGGCAGCAGTTTTAGCCTTAGTCATAACTTTAAAAGGAAAGTACGGTTTTATTCATGCAATAACGTTACAAGATTACACATAGTTTGTCACTTAGTTTTGGAAAGCCCTATAATTATAAAGAAACACAATATGCAACTGGAGGACATACATTCATGAAGTAAAGAAGTGTTTAAGTTTAAGAATAATCACAGATGGTAATAGAAATAGTTAACCTTTTCACTGTCTCATATACAGATCTACATTATTGATGCCTGTGTCACTGACATAGATCTACAGTTTAAACACAGCCCTTTTAAATATGCTGCGAGAGGTATATTTTGGCCTAGACATGAGAGAATGGGTTTGTGTAGTGAGTATGCATAGTATTAAAAGAAATCCTGCACTACACAGTGCATGATGGGAAAAGCAAACTTGGTATCAACTGGTAAAGGTAAGACATACTACAGAAATAGAGATGATTTTGGTCAGTTTCAGGACCAGAAGCAGCCTGAAATAGGGCTCAAATTTATGAAATATTCAACTTTTAGCAATTTTCCAGAGGGAGGGTAAGCCCCCCTTAATTAAAATAGGACTCAAAATAGACAAAACTGCTTGTGTAAATTTTGCCCAGACTGCCAACTTTGCACCTACATAATTCCACAAATTTTCCATTAAATTTCACACATTTGGTGTCATTACCTTCAGAAAAAATTCTCCATTATTTCAAAAATTTTTTAATCATGATTGTCAGCCCTTTAAATTTGGGAGTTGTGACAGTGAAAGGGTTAATATAGCAATCCTCCAAAAATATTGTATGCATCCCCATAAAAAGTTACATATAATAAATTACATCACATTAGAAAAGTGTTTCACTAGTTCATAAAGGCTAGACACTACCATAAATGTCTAAGCATAAAAAACTGCTGAAGTAGTATGAACAAAATGGCTAAAGGGTTGAGACATTAAATGCTGAATGAGTAACAGGTTTAATATTTTACAACTTCTCTTGGTCCACGTATATGGCCCCAATTATAGGTGATGTATAAGAAATTTCCTCTAACTGACCTGCATTGGTGCAGGAGAGGGTGCAGCATCAACTGGAGTAGCAGTGTTCTGGGGAGCAGGTCCAGCTGCTTCATTGCCATCTTCTCGTACAGTTTGGTTACCAGGTGGTGCTGCCTGGGAAGACGAAGTAGAGGAAGGTCGTGGAGGTAATCCTTGTGCTGTGCGCTGCCTCTCTTCAGCCTCTCGCCTTAGTATTTCTTTCTGTCGTTCTACCATAGCAGCAAAGGATATTTCGTCTAGCTTTGGAGCCATGGCCTATGAAACAGTAAATTGCAAAAATAATAAATCTGCCAATACTGTAAAAGTAAGCAAAAAATATAGAAATATACTAATAACTAAAGACTGTCAGTGAAGATTCAGAAGAAAAAAAATATATGCCATAATAAAAAATGATAAACAGTCTACACTGCATTGATAAGAATGAGTTCTCTATTTGATTTATCTAATTACTGCAATGTAAATAGTGTTTCATACTAGACCTTTCTGGGTTTAGCGCTTAGCTTGATTATAATAACTTTCTTACCTCAGTGGCATGCAACAACATTCATCCAAAAATTACATTACCTCATCTCCTCTATCAATAAATACTGGTGTCTTCAAGGTAGCATTCTAAGTCCCCTCCTAATCCTTCTTTATATTAATGCCCTACTATATACTGCCCAACAACTCACACCAATACTTCTTGCTAACATCGTATTTTATTTTGCTTGAAACACCGATCATACTGCTTGAAACAAGATTTCTTAATTTTAAACACACCACTCATCTCTAGGGTTACCCTTCCCCCCCAAAACAAGGTAACCCATTCACCATCACATGTTGCTGAAATGCAACATCCCCACCTTCTTTCAGATTGCAGGCAGTGTATTTCCCACCTCCAAGACTCAAGCACGGCTAACTGGTTTCCTCGAATTCCTTAATGTAATGTTTCCTTGCTTACACTTCAACAGCATGTCAATCCATAAAAACCAATCCCTTGCACAAGACAGCAGCTGTATTTGAAACTATTTACAACTGGCTTGAAATCAACACTTTCATTGACACTAGTAAAGACCTACCATATATAATATATATTTTAAAATAAAAAGCATAAATCTTATATAAATAGCACACAAATAGAAAGTAACATTCAAGCAAATTCCTTACCTACAACCATAATTGTTTTAGTAAATACAGTAAGGCCCAACTTACAACAAAGGTGTTTCTGAAAATTCATATTATGTCCACTGTCCGGTACTCAAAACCAATTCTGCTCCCCTCTCCCCCCAAAAAAAATAATGAGTCATTTTTGAGCCATGATACTCCAAATCTAATTTCCTTAACCCTTTCACTGTCTAGACCCCTTGAAACTTGTCTACAATGTTCAAGAATTTTCAAAAGAATTTTTTGTTATTTTTCTTATAAAATGGTAGAGAATTTTTTTTTTTCAGAAGGTAATAAAACAAAAAGTATGAAATTTGATGGAAAACTGATGAAATTACACTTCATGAATTTTGGGGCATCAAGAGATATCTACACATTGGCGATTTTGCCCAATTTGAGTCCTATATTAGGCCAATTACAATGTTCCAGTCGACCAAATTCTTAGCTATTTCGCTAGCATGTGTTCTATTTTATTGAATGAGCACACAAAAATCACCCAATCAACTACTTCACCTACCCAAAAAAAAAAAAAGTAATCAGAAATTGGTAATTTGGCAAATTTCACACAAATTTCACATAGGGTTTAGAATAAGCAATGCAAGCATTTCTGGCACTAAAGTAACACATCCTCTGTTCATTAGTTATGTTCACAGGCTACACATGAATTCCATTTTTTGTATTCATACAGAATTTTTATTCTCACACACACACACACACACACACAAAAAAAAAAAGTTTTACTGATATGCAATATTGTAATAATTATATAAATAATATCAGCACACTTGTGAATGCATATTAGACCCACCAGTTGGATGAGTGACATGATTTCTTTTACTCTTGAATGTCGGCAAAAATTGAACATTTCTGCTACTTTGAGCTCAATTTCAAGTTATTTTCAATCTTGAAACCAATCAAAATCATCTCTTCTTTCTGTAATATATCATCTATTCTATAAAATGAGACCAAGAACTGAGAATACAACCATAAAAACCATATGAAAACACAACACAAATTCACTGTTTTAAACCAAAAACAAGGTCGCAATTTTTTTCTTATCATGCACTGCGAGCTGCAGGATTTTTTTATGTGGTGCACACTTATCACACAGACCCATTCTCTCATATCTATGCCCAAATTTACCGCTCACAGCTTATCCGAGTGATCTGAGCTCATGGTGTGGTACTACGGCACTGACAGTGACCTCAAAGCCATAGTAAGATGGCACAGCCAGTAAAAGGGTTAAACCTGCTATGATTTAAGTGTAAATTTACAATGCAAGAGTCAAAAAAATTTAGCAATTACTACATTAAGTAAATCTACTATATATATCTTGATTTACTAATTACAAAGGGGCAATTTTATTACCTTTACTTTTTTTAGTTCTCCCTGAAAGCTGTCACCTGCTTCCATAAACTTTTGCTTCTTTGCCTCAAATTTTTCTTCAATTTGTTGAAGCTCTGTCTCCAGCTTTTTCTGAAATATAAAAGACTGGTTTAAAGTCATTCATTCTATGGCATAAACACAACTTTATGCCAAACATAACAATAGTATTTTTTTTTTTCATCTTAATAAAGAATCTAAATGTATTTGGTCCTGTATTTCCCTCACCAAAGCAACTATACTCAAACTAGCAGCTTGTAACAAATTATTATATTCTTGACTGGGAGATCTAAACCCAAAAGTCACGCACAGTCTGAGGAGCAATTCAAGGAAGGAGAGGTCAAGTCCAATTCCTTGGATCAGGAGTCCTTCACCAGTAGCAGGGAGTCTCCCTTGCTGGGATTTACAACAGGTAAGGTTGCTCACCTGGTGCATAGTCAAAGACTGAACCTGTCGTTTTAACACTGTCAGGCGCTGACTTGTGACCACAGATCTTACATCAGGTACAACTGTATCAGAAAATATCTCATTGATGAGGCGATGATTCCGCACATATCTAGCATGGCCTACATGCTTTACACTTAGTCCATCATCATAATCTGTTGAATAATGATTATTGTACTTTCATTACAATTTAGTTACTTATCACTATTATACAATGAGCAAACTTTTTATAAATACACTAGTGACATAATTCCATAATTTACAATTAAACTATGTACTGCTCTACTATAAACACAAACTTACATCAAAACACAATGTAGATAAAGATGTCATGTTTGAGAGTACTGTGTAGTGTGAATATCAGGCAGAGAATTCAGAGTGCAGAAATTAAAATGTGATGTGGGGTCACTAACTGCATAATTCTGGAGGGTTGCTGAAATGGTTTATGCATGTAGAGAGGACAGAGAGGAATAGAATAATGAAGAGGGCGTATAAATCTCAGGTAAAATGTATAGGGGTAAGGGTCATCCCAGAAAGAGATGGAGGAAGGGGGGTAAAAGAGGCTATAAGTTTTAGGAGATTACACATTCAACAGGCTTGAGAATGTTATATAAAAATAAATGGAAACAAAGGTTTTTAATGGATGTACTGTTGGAGTGTGAGCAAGGTAACTATGAGGGGATTCAGGAAAACCAGCTAGCCAGACTTGAATCTTGGAGATGGGAGGGGTGGGAAAATTGCAATCTAATTGTGATACCAGCACACTTTCGTCAAGACAGTGATTGAATGAATGATGGTGGATTTTTTTTTTTTGTTTGTTTGGGTTACCCTCCATTGGCAGGAGATGACCACTGAAGAAACAAAAACAAATTTCAGCCAATAACAGTTTACTACTACAACAAAATAAAACAATATAAACTTTGTAAGTAATTAAAGCATGAGCAGCTCACCGTCCTCATCTTCAGCTGGCTGGATATCAATACGGCGATCAAGTTTGGTCCCTGGCGTGGTAGTACTGGATGATCGGTCAATTATTTCTTTTTCTTCTGTGGCTGCAGATCCTGCTGATGGGAGAAAACCTGGTGAGCCCAGAAACATTTGTTTCTGTTGAAATTGTATAAAATGATGACTTAAGTATATACTTAGGAAATTGCTCTTTGATTACCAAATAAAATCATATTTCCAAACATTGTTTTACAAATTAAACTAATCATCCTAATTACATAAATATTTAAGGGAAAATATGTGTATTTTGCCATGTGATATTTGCTGTACTGTACAGAATATATAATGGATCAAGAAAAAACTTTCAATGATCAAATGAATGAATTTCCTGCATTTTTCAAAATGCCTGTGACAATATGAGAGTCATAAGGCAAGCACAATATATATCAATAGGAATTCTATGAAAAAATACTAATGCATTTCCTACTTATTAGATTAAGGATGACCCGTCATTCAGGGCACTTAAAAATTTAAAATGATGATTACCTCAGTTTGTAATCTCAAATCTGACAGGTAATACTCATAACATTTTCAAGGAATTCTAGTTCGATGTCAATTAAAAAAAAGTCATAGCTTTGGGGACAAATTCTTTAATTTTTATGTGATATAGAAATATCAATATCCAATAAGGGAGTTCAGTGCATTATCATAAACTAAAACTTATGGCCTACACATGACTCAAATTTCAAGACCAAAAATTCAGTAATAAAGAAAGATTGCTTAATCCAGAAAGTCATTTCATGAGTTATTGTACTCAGCTTTAGCTAACATACTGCTCGATTGTACTCTTACTACAGTGCTGTATCTTTCTTTTAAACTAACACACTATGTTGCAAGTCCAGTTACATGGGACTAATATACAGAATAAATACATTACTAAACCTAACTATATAAACCTTCAAATGTACTAAAGATTATATACAGAAGGAAGGGCTCTACCAAACACACGAAGACATCTTGGTATAGCTATATTTTTCATCACGGTCCATCCTTGAACAGTGTTTTTCTCCAAATAGTAAGCAAGTTAGGTATTAAAATAGTAAATTAACACGAAAGCTCTAAACCCAAGTGGGATATTCAGCACTGCTGAATATATTAATAAAACACCACAAAGAAGAGAAACGATTTGACAGACATTTTACTAATCAATCTTTTTTAAGAAAAAGCACAGGAGCACATAACTCATCAGGTCAAAAGACAATAATGCTACTGAACCAAAGTGAGGCCAGACGTGACAACCTAAAAGACTTCCTGGTTTTCTTTTAATGACTGGATTTCTGAACAGCTGCCAATTCTTAACACCATAGTCTAGTTACATCCATTTCCATGATGACTGCTGTGCTTTCTCACCCAATGGAGTGAAAGCATAGGTCTCAGAGCATTACTGTGCTATTAATCCTTTGAGAGTTTCGGCCGTACTAGTACGGCTTACGACCCAGGGTTTTTGACGTACTAGTATGCCTAAATTCTAGCGCCCTCAAATCTAGTGGGAAAAAGCTGGTAGGCATACATATGAAAGAATGGGTCTATGTGGTCAGTGTGTGCAGTATAAAAAAAATCCTGCAGCACACAGTGCATAATGATAAAAAAAAAAAACTTTGACCGTGTTTTTGGAATAAAACAGCGACTTTGCACTGTATTTTCATGTGGTATTTATTGTTGTATTCTAGTTTTCTTGGTCTCATTTTATAGAATGGAAGACATATTACAGAAATTGAGATCATTTTGACTGTTTTACAATGAAAAGTACCTTGAAATTGAGCTCAAATTAGCAGAAATGTTCGATTTTTACCAAAGCTCAAAAGTAAACAAATCATGCCAAGCCTCCAATACACATCAACTGGTGAGTCTAATATTCTTTCACAAGTGCGCTGATATTATTTATACCATTTCTACACTAATGCAGCAGTCTGCATAACAGTAAATCTTCTATTTTTTGTAAGAATAAAAATTGAAAGTGGAAAGCCAAAGAAATATAAGAGGGGCCTGGGGATGTGACTAACGAACAGAGGAAATGTTATTTTAGTGCCAGGAATGTCTTTCTTGTTTATTCTGGACCCTATTTGGAAATTGGCATCTTTTGAAATTTGTGTGAAATTGGCAAAATTGCTAAATTCTGACCACTGTATTGGATAGTTGAAATCAGTAAATGGGTAGTTTCTTGTACTCATTCAATAGAAAAAATGGAGTTCTAGAGAAATAGTTATGATTTTTGTCGACTAGCACACTGGAATTGGCCGAAAATAGGGCTCAAAGTGGGCAAAACCACCGATGCGTAAACATCGTCGAGACCGCTAACTTCGCGAGAGCATAATTCCGTAAGTTTTCCATCAAATTTCATACTTTTGGTGTCATTATGATCGGGAAAAGATTCTCTATCTTTTCATAAGAAAAAATATTTTTTTTTTTAAATTTGGCCGACCCTGAGAACAAGCCTCGGAGAGGGTCTGTCGACCCTCAAAGGGTTAAATAATATTGTGGGTTTTCTATGCCTATCTGTATTTCAAGATTCTGATGTAATGGTTACCAGACCTTTGTATGCTGCACTTTCTTATTAGACATACAGTGGTACCTTGACTTATGAGTGCCCCAACTTACAAGTTTTCTGAGTTATGAGCTGTCGCTTGGTTGATTTTTTGCTTTGAATTGCGGGCCAAAATCCGAGTTACGAGTGAGCTTCAGATACGCCGCCACTAATTGGCGAAGCGAACACCACAACATCCACCCAGCATCCCAGCGTTTTGTGCGGTTATTTTGCCAAATTTCTTTTTTCTAACCATGGGTCCTAAGAAAGTAAGTGCAAAGGACAGCGCTGAGATGATGATGTCCATTGTATTAAGCATGAAATCATAGAAAAACACGAGAAAATCGCTTTTGTTTCAGTGTTTTCCTTATGAAACTAGTGATCTAGTGCAGTTAGCCTCACAAACACTGTTTTGTCTTATAATAAGACCTCAGAAGGGCAAGAATGGGAAGATATGGTCAGAGCGATAATTATTTTTACCTCGGGAGTGGCTGCCACCACTCGTCACATAATGACATTTTATTCATTCTAGAGTATATATCTTGTTTCTATGTTATTTATACTATTTATGTCATATTGGATGAATTGTGATAGATAAATAAGCCGGCGATTTGACATTAGCATTATACTGAAGTATTTTCTCCTGCCTCCCAAGAGCCAGGAATTCTTCTGGAATGGATTAATGACATTTCAATTAACTTCAATGAAGAAAATTGATTTGACACATGAGCAAACTGAGTTATGAGCTCGGTCATGGAACAAATTAAAGTCGTAAGTCAAGGTACCACTGTACATTGTATACTGAAGCTCAAAATACCTAAATTTTCACTCATCACTCACTCACTCTCTCACTCACTCACACACACACACACACACACACACACACACACACACACACACACACACACACACACACACAAAAAAGCGTGGATGTGTCAGCTTTTCCATTTCTCTCCGTGAATTACTGTAACAACGAACCTAGAGGTACTTTGGGACCATTTGCCTGAAACTTTCATGCAGTGTGGTGCAATGATATTTATGCAAGACAATGCTCCTTGCCACACCACAAAATCTGTTATTCAATGACTTAAGTGAGTGTGAAGTACCCTTCTTTGATGACTAGCCAGGAAATTCCCAAGATTTTAACCCCATTGAGAACTTCTAAGTAGTGATAGAGAGATCTACTATGGAAAGGATATCAGCCAACTCCCAAGGCTGGAGAGCACCATTCATGAGCCATGAAGAAATTTACCCTATGAAACCTTGAGACAGTTGAGACATCCTAAGGCACAAGGGATAATCTATTTTCTGGTTGTCGCTCGAGAGGGGGGCTGGATTACTCTAGTGATGAGCACTGTAATAGCAGTAGTGCCTTTCTCACATATTCTTTTGTTTATTGCACAGCAACAATGGAGACCATACCCAACCCTTTGTAAAGGAACTGTCATCAGGGTATCACTCATCTACTACTACACTGACAAGCCAATGTTTTCCCATATAAGAGAATGCCCAATAAGAACAGAGAGCTGGTAATTTTTACCTTGTTTACCCATCCACAATTCCATTGTTCAAATGGCACTTTCTCGTATTCTTTAAAAAAACAAATTCATTTAACTTTATTACATATTTTCAGTGCCTTATTTATATCCCTTTTAATTATATATGGTACTTATTTTCCATATCCTGTATTTGGCATAAGGCTATACAGTGGAACTTTGGTTTTCGTAGGATTTGGTTTTCGATGACTTTTTTCGTCTAAATTTTGTCCCAGCTTTCGTACATCTGCTCGGTTTTCATAGAGTTGATAATGGTCCATACCAGACGCGTCTGCCTGCCCACACCCACACAAAGCATCCCACAAGTTCTGACTCAGTGTGGCATTGTTTCTCATCGAGTGAACATTACCCCGTGTGTTCGGATAACATTTAATAATAATCCATTGTTTTTTGTGCTTGTTTATCAAGTGCGACTGCTAAATAAGCCACCATGGGGCCAAAGAAAGTTCCGAGTGCCAGCCCTTAGATAAAGAAGGCGAGAAACACGATAGAATTCAAGAAAGAACTCATAGCAAAGTACAAAAGTGGCGTACACATGGCTGATCTCGCCGGGATGTACAGGAAGTCCGCATCAACAATCAGTTCCATCCTGGTGAAGAAAAAAGAGATCAAGGAAGCTGATGTTGCGAAAAGGGTAAATATGCTAACAAAACAGATCGCAAACAATTGAAGATGTTGAGAAGTTACTGTTGGTGTGGATCAACAAAAAACAGCTAGCAGGAGATAGTGTTTTAGTGGAAGAATTGGTGGACGACCACAGGAAAGAGCTAACCACTGAAGAGCTGCAAGACCTTCAACTGGAACAGCAACAGATCACAGCTGAGGAAATTTCTTCAGAGGAGGAAGAGAGAGGGAAGAATGTGCCTTCTTCAGTGATTAAGGATGTGTGTGCAAAATGGAATGAGTTGCAAAGTTTTGTGGAGAAATATCACCATAATAAAGCTGTTGCAAGCCGTGTCTGCAACATGTTCAATGACAGACCTCTCTGGACAGA